AAGAGAAGACTCCCTGGAAAAGACCCTGATGTTGGGAAAGTGTGAAGGCAAGAGGAGAAGGGGACAAAAGAGGACAAGATGGTTGGACATTGTCACTGAAGCTACCTATGAATTTGGCCCAGGTCTGGGAGGCAGTGGAAGACAGGAGGGCCTGGTGTGCTCTGGTGCATGGGATCATTTGAAGAGTCAGATATGACTTAATGACTAAGCAATAAATGCTTGTTTTGGAGGAGAGGCACACATATCAATGAAATATAGATCTTGTTGGGAATTGGGGAATAAACTAGGTGAAGGCCATGAACCAATCAGATTGAGGAGGCAAAAAATGGTCGGAAGGATTGGAGGAGATTTCTTTCTCTTAAGGTGAACATTCTAAACATGAACAATACATTGGGGTCTATTGTATTTAAAAGCCTGTAATTCTTAAAAGTAGGAACTCAGATTCACACCAGAGTTAGAAAACGGGGCTTTGTTGTTCTGTAATTCCTTTCCTATCTAAGGAGAGTAGGCCAAATGATTTTTATTTATTTAATTTATATATTTACATTTTTGTTTCAACCATCTAGTGGCCAGGCCACTGCTCTGGGCAGCTTACAATATCACAACATTAAACTCCATAATAATTAAAACAACAAACAGAAAAAGAAAGAAACACAACTTTATACTATGTACTCTATACCAGCAGTCTCCAACTCTTTTGGAGCCATGGACCGGCTGCGGGGAGTGAGCTCCATGCGTGGGGAGGCAGGGGTAACCCCGCATGAGCGTTGTGGGCGTGTCATGCTTGCAAGGTGGTGTGTCAAGTGCGGCACCCCTCACATAAGCGTGACATGCCCACCATGGGCACGACACACCCACCACACAAGTGTGACATGCCTCCTGCACAAGTGAGACACGCTGGGAGTGAGCTCCATGCGTGGGGAGGCAGGAGTAACCCCGTACGAGCGCTGTGGGCGTGTCATGCTTGCGAGGGGGCGTGTCAAGTGTCGCACCTCCCCACACGAGCATGACATGCCCACCACGGGCATGACATGCCCACCACGGGCACGACACACCCACCACACAAGCCTGACACGCCCCCTGCGCAAGTGTGACACGCCCCCTATGTGAGCATGACACGCCCATCGCACGAGCGGGGGGGAATGGAGATCCGTATCCGCAGCCCAGTTCTGGCAAGCTCACGGACTGGCACCGAGCTGCGGACCGAGGGTTGACGACCCCTGCTGTATACTATACCCTATTACTATATATTCTCTGTAAAAATAACTGATACAAAAATGATGGCAAAACAGAGACAATTATTAAAAAAAAAAGAACGAGATGTCAGTAATCCAAATGACAACATTAATCTGGTGCAAGACTGTGGAAGGCCTATGTGAACAGACATGTCTTCACTTGTTTTCTAAAGCCAAGGAGGGAAGGGGCCTGTGGCACATCTATTGGGAGAGAGTTCCACAATGAGGTGGCTGCTACATAAGAAGGCCTGGTTCTGTTATTTACCTCTGGATCTCCATCAGAGTGGCCACACTAACATCCCAGATTGTGAGGTGTGGGTGGGGTGGCAGGTTGTTTTGAGGGAAAGGTGTACAGAGTGGTAGCAAGGTAGAGAGTTCCACAATGAGGTGGCTGCTACACAGAAGGCCCAGTTCTGAGTTATTTATTTCTGGACCTCCATCAGAGTGGCCACACTAACATCCCGGATTGTGAGGTGTGGGTGGGATGGCAGGTTGTTTTGAGGGAAAGGTGCACAGAGTGGTAGCAAGGTCCTAAACCATCTAGGGCTTTGAATGCCAACATAAGCACCTTGAACTTGGCCTGGAACCAAATTAGCAGCAAATTGGTTCTTGCCTTTCCGTATCCAATTAAAAAACCTAGGGTGGATTATCTATCATTCATCCGGAACATTTTAATAAACCTGGTCCTGATCAAGGAATCAACCTGACACAGCATTACAAGGACTGCATATGGTGACTGTGGGGCCAAAACAATTGGCAAATTGCATCTGAGCTGAAAGCCAGCAGCCAGTCCTTTTCTGATAAATTCCTTTCTAACGTCCTTTCTCTTTTCTTTTTGTTCACTTCTTTCTCTCTCTCTTTCTGACACCCTCATGCTGTCTCTCTGTGTATGTGTGTCTCCCCTTCTTCCTCTTTGCTTAGTGTGCTGGCAGGTGAGGGATGTATCTGTCTTGCCAGAGTTCTGACCTGATGCTTGCAGAAGTCCACTAGTTAATCACCCCTGGATTAAGTGAAGACCTGGAAGTTCTTATAGCCTGATCTTATGCCTGTTTTCTGAGAAATAACTACTGATTTAAGTAAGACTTACTGTCAAGTAGCTAAGTATAAGATTTTGAAAATGCAAGAGTGGGCAATACTACAAAAATCTATCAAATAGCAAGCTTTCATGGATTAAAATTCACTTCCTCAGGCTGAGCACACCTCCTTCATATATAATACAGGAATACTGTAGACAAAAGTGCAAAAATTGATGATACATGTCTGTGAGAGACATGTATCTATCTGTGGATTATCTCTCACAGACATATATTTTTGGACTTTTCTCTACAATTTTTCTGCAGTATCCATGAAGGAGGTGGATTTCATCTATGAAACCTTGCTATTTGATTGTTTTGTTTAAGTGGTCCAATAAAAGGTATCACCCACTCTTGCATTTTTGTAATCTCAGGGGCCAAACACAGCCTTTTTATTGTTATTTGTGAAGTATAAGATTTCTCCCTATGAAATTGTTTCTTCAGGTCAAACTATGCATTAAAAATAGCACATCATTAGAAGAGGGAAAAGTCTGTGCTTGAAGCCACCTAGTTGTCAGACCATCGTTTTTCCTCCCAGACTTCTTGCAGCTGGCAAAATTAGCTTGCTTGATTTTGTTATTAAACACCGGACAGTAATGCAGACTTTGATTGCCAGTTTGATTCCTCAGACATGAAGGTCTGCCAGAATCTGGAACCTCAAAGCTATTTCAATATTTACATATATGCTTATTTATATATGTATAGACTGATTGAATATAGATACATACAGAATTGCATCATGAGAGGTCAAAATTGCTGGAGGTATTTTAACAATCTTGCATGCTTCCTGGAGAAGGTGACTGTCAGTCTATCCAGCGCTGACCAATTGTTCCTTCTCTGTCTCTGAATTCAAAGAGGGTCCTGCCTCTCTACTCAATGGTTTTCCCTCTCAAAAGTTTGCTCATGTCTGTTGTTGGAAGCAGTCATGTTTTTAGTTTGCTGTTATTTGTCCAATGTAAATAAATTAAACACTTTTATTATTTATCTTACTAATGTCTCAGAGTGAGTTATTGAGAATATGAGTGCCAGTTAGTGAGAAAAGGGGTGGGCTAATCTAGGGAGCTTGACGTTATTGTGCTCTGTGAATCCCTGTACTTCTGCTGTGCAGCTAGGGGAATTTAACAAAAATTCCGAAGTCTACAACAAAAATAAAAGCCAGATCTACATATCAAGAATGGGGAAAGAAGAAGAAATGTTTATAATCCGTGGGAGGAACAACCAATTTGGGTCTAGAGACGTTGTGCAAATGGAATGTCAGACCCAAGAGCTCCCAATTCTATGGTCAAAAACCCCCAATCTAGCATTAGAACTAGGAGGATACCATCCTTTTTAGAGGTGCAAAAATAGTTATAACCCAGTGTTTCAGTTTCACTATAAATATCCTTGAGTACATTTTTGTGTTACCATATCTGTAAAGGATGCGAAAAGAGTTATTCTGAATTAATAGAGATATCCAGAAAGAGAGGAGGAATTAAAGAACCTTGTAATGAGGGTGAAAGAGGAGAGTGCAAAAAACGGCCTGAAACTCAACATCAAAAAAAAAACTAAGATCATGGCCACTGGCCCCATCACCTGCTGGCAAATAGAAGGGGAAGATATGGAGGCAGTGTCAGATTTTACTTTCTTGGGCGCCATGATCACTGCAGATGGAGACAGCAGCCATGAAATTAAAAGATGCCTGCTTCTTGGGCGGAAAGCGATGACAAACCTTGACAGCATCTTAAAAAGCAGAGACATCACCTTGCCAACAAAAGTCCGAATAGTCAAGGCTATGGTTTTTCCCATCTTGATGTATGGAAGTGAGAGCTGGACCATAAAGAAAGCAGACCGCCGAAGAATTGATGCCTTTGAATTGTGGTGTTGGAGGAGGATCTTGAGAGTCCCCTGGACTGCAAGGAGAACAAACCTATCCATTCTAAAAGAAATCAACCCTGAGTGCTCACTGGAAGGACAGATCCTAAAGCTGAGGCTCCTGTACTTTGGCCATCTCATGAGAAGAGAAGACTCCTTGGAAAATACCTTGATGTTAGGAAAGTGTGACGGCAAGAGGAGAAGGGGACGACCGAGGATGAGATGGCTGAACAGTGTTATCGAAGTGACCAATATGAATTTGCCCCAACTCCGGGAGGCAGTGGAAGATAGGAGGGCCTGGCGTGCTCTGGTCCATGGGGTCACGAAGAGTCAGACACGACTAAACCACGCCGACGATCCAACTTTAACTTAAGATAGTTTTAAAAGTTTACCTGCTCTTAATTATTCAGTTGTTTTTAAGTGTATAGTTTAATTGGTTTTGTAAATTTTTAACTTATAGTTTTAATTCTATTATTTTAATATTGTCAGTCGCCTTTGGCCCCCTGATTGGGAGAAAGGCGGCCTATAAATAGAAGAAACAAACAAACGAATAAATATTCCCACCAGCCTTTGGAAAGCAGTTTTGGAAAGAGTCCCTGCCATGATTCTTGGGGGTTCACATACATGCTGCCTTGATATATGTGCTCCCCTCCCTGAGAATCGCAGCAGGGACTTCATTAGCACGTTAGGAATTAACTGAAAACTACCACAAGATTTCAGCCTCTGGATGCAACTCAACAGTGTGGCTTTAGGCCAAATATTCCATGTAATAGGGATACACAGTGCCTTTCCCTCTTTCCGGTCGGGCCCGCGACGGACGCAGGCGTGTCTCTCTCCCGCTATGGGCCACCAGCAGCTCTACTGGAGCCACCCAAGGAAATTCGGACAGGGGTCCCGCTCCTGCCGGGTCTGCTCCAACCGCCACGGCCTGATACGCAGGCATGGCCTCAACATGTGCTGCCAGTGCTTCCACCAGTACGCCAAGGACATGGGCTTCGTCAAGTTGGATTAAACACCAGTTTCTCCTGAAACCTCCCAGGCCACAGAAGCCTCCGTCTTGGCCGATGGAGATAGCCAAAATGGAAGATGCTGGCAAATGTGTGTTGTAAGCCGCCTAGAGTGGTCAATATGACCAGATAGGCGGGGTATAAATGGAATGAATGAATGAATGAATGAATGAATGAATGAATGAATGAATGAATGAATAAATAAATAAATAAATAAATAAATAAATAAATAAATAAATAAATAAATAAAAGCCTCTTGCTGAACAAGCCGTTGTATACATAAAAATAAATATAAAATAAGGATACACAGTGTGGTGCACTGGACAGAGTGATGGACTAGGAGACCAGGGTTTGAATCTCCTCTGCCATGGAGAGGAATGGAACTGGTAAAACTACTCCTTAAATATCTCACGTACAGTACCCTGAAAGCCCTATTAGGGTCGCTGTAAGTCATTTCCAACTTGACAGCACATAATGACAACAACCACATTCCTTGTAACAGAGGAAACGGTTAAGCATTCAGCATAACAGTGGATATGATCCAAATGAATTCACATGTAAAAGCAAACACTTCACCAGAAATATTTCAGCTAAACTGAGATACAGAGAAGACTGAGATATAGACAATATGTAAAAAAAGAAATGGTTAGGAAGAACTATTATCTGTAATACAGTACTTCCTATTTTAAAAGGAGCAAAGATTTCAAATCCAGAAATCAGTATTTCAAGCCATAGCAGTAAGTAGGTATTAATAGAGGACACCTAGTGGTGAACAGCCATAACACATTGTTCTAGAAGACGATGTGAGTTATGGAAACTGCATGATTAAATTGTCTTTGAGGAATTTTATATAAACTTTGGCTAGGATGATTCACAGAAACTATGCTAACAAAAGTATCAGGGAACTATAAGAATAGGGTTTTTTTTTTTTAACTGAGAAAGAAAATCTTTGTGCTTTCCATTGTATGGACTGTATTCTTTTGCAACTTACAGTAAGCAAGGGGATTAGCTGGAGATGGGATTTTGCACTTGTTGCCATAATACACTTGCAAGTTATTTCTAGGAACAACAGTGACAGGCTATAGAGAACAGCTTCAAAGCACCACTAGAATGCTTAATAGGCACAACTTCAGGCAGTGGGTGCTGAATACAGCACAAGAGAAGGATATATGAATGTATTCCAATGATTTTCCCAATCTTTCTTTAAAAGTAGCATAGAGAAAAACCATATATCCATCCACCATGCAAACAGGGTGTTTTTTTAAAAAAATCATTTTGAAAGCATGTATCCCATCTTTCTAATGGAGTTATATATGCAATTCAGCTCACATAATATTTTTACAATTCACATTCCTTCAAAACACTATTACATATAGTCTCATCATACAAACAGTGAATGTATGTGAGCTGATAATTTTTCTGACTAAATCATGGCTGCTGGTCCATGTCATAGTACTGGTAATAGCATATTTGTGCATGCAGCACATATATTTTTAAAATATATGCCACACACATAAAACTGCCCACAGATGTTTTCCATAGCTGGTAAATAAGCAACTGAAGCCTGAATTTCTCAGAAAGTCTACCTTTGGCTGAATTATCTATTGATCGAAAAGAGCGATGTCTTAATTAAATCAATTAATTTATTCATTTATTTATAACAACAAAAATGTAGGTTTTTTATATTACTGTTCACCATAATCCTGTGTACCATTTAAAACAAAACAGTGAGGAGATATAATGGATCAGAAATGGAGTGAGCTTGCGTGTGATGAATTAAGATGAAACTGAAAACTTTATTGGCTGCATGTTTTGGAACAATCAGAAACATGTGACAATTTTCACCCTGTCCGCCTGCTCTGTTTCAATAAGATTAGCAGTACAACGAAATTTATAAGACAGCTGCTTTCTTGTAAATGTCACTATATTGCTTGTTTCAAATTTTAATGAAAACTATGGTAACTGAAGCTACTTCTCCATGCCCATCACTGAGGAATTGAAACTTTGAGGGGTAAAAAGTAACACACATTCTGCACAAGCAAGTAAAGGATCTCTAATAAATTTAATAACAGAAATAGCTTTGAAAGAGGGCATCTCTGAGAGAAAAGCAACAAGCAATTGTTTTCCTTGCTCGGTTTTTCCCTTTCCACCCCATCGTCTCAGATTTCAAACACACCTTTATATATGTTTTGTTGTTGTTTTGTTATGTACTATCAAGTCATATCTGACTTATGGCAACCCTATGAATGAGCTATCTCCAAAATGTCCTGTCATCAATAGCCCTACTCACCTCTTGTAGACTCATTCTATGGATCATGGCTTCTTTTAGGCAGTCAGTCCATCTCATATATGGTCTTCCTCATTTGCTGCTGCCTTCCATCTTTCCTAGTATTATTATCTTTTTTCAGAGAGCCCTGTCTTCTCATGATGTGCCCAAAGTAGGACAGCCTCAGGTATTCCGAACTCCTTGTATGGGGTCTCAATCTGACCTTCTGGGCTTCTCAAGTTAGCCATGCTCCTTTCCCTATCATATGTTCATTCAGTGGTTTTTTCTAATCTAAAAGCACATCTCCTGAGGATTTGGGCCTGTCCAGACTGGCATATAGATCAATATATGAATGATACAGTTTGGTTCAAACCAAATGACAACATCCACATATATTTGTACTTAGACTGATCCATCTTGCCCCTGTAAGAGCTGTTGGCACCTTTTTGGCACAGCATTAGGGCATATATTCTTTTTGGTACAATTAAGTGCAATGCTAATTATCTTGTGCAGATGGTTAGTTTACACCCAAATGGAGCTGTGGGTGGTGTTATCAGATATGACAACCATGTGACATAATAAGTTGTGACATTAAAAGGAAGGGCAGAGAAACCTCCTCTATTTCCATCTTCTCTTTATTTGTATTTCCCTAACTGACACAGCACAATTCTAATTCCATTCTAGGTGGATGCATTGCTCTTTCAACAACAACAATCTTAGAACCCCAGAGCTGGCTAGGACCCTATGGATCAGTGAGGCCAGCCCTTGTCAGGAAGGAACAGTGGGGAATTGAACTCTTAACATTTGGGTTCTGCAGCCAGATGCCTAAGCCAATGAGCTATCCTGCCATTCATATGCCACTAACTATATTTAACAAAAATAAAAAATAAAAGCCACTTTAGCCAGCTGAATGATGCTTGCAAGAAAATGTCGGGATGGGAGATATGTTGACTCCATAGGTGCTCCCCACACAAGGCAGTACCGCCCCAGCAGAGCCCCAGCTGAGGAGAACAGCAGGGAAGGGGGTCAAGTTACCTCCCTTCTGTCTCCCTAACCTCCCCCCCCTAATGTTTTCCTCTCATACCAGTGCTATTGCTGCTGCCTCTTTATTTCTGAGTAAATCAGCAATCGAAAGACTTATGTGTTCTTTCTTTCTTTCTTTCTTTCTTTCTTTCTTTCTTTCATTATATCCTGCTTTTTTCCTTAAAAAGATCTCAAGTGTGAACAGAAGCATTGCTCAAGTGAGAGATAAAATAGATCCCACTGAAGATGAGAACCTTTTAAGTGCTCACTAGACCACTCCAAATTCCCTTGTCTGGACAGGTCCTTAGTTACTGACAATAAGAGTGTTCAGCTAAAATATACCAGCATTTTTCATGTGACGCTTTTGCTTCTCCATCATTGGATGCAGCCCCTGAATCTGGTTCTGTGTTAAAAAAAAAATACAGTCAGTCCTCGACTTACAAACTTAATCCGTTCCAGAAGGAAGTTGGTAAGTCGAAAAGTTTGTAAGTCGAATCAGCATTTCCCATAAGAATGCATGGAAAACCAATTAATCCATTCCGGCCGTTTTTGGTTCTTAGGTCGAGGGGCGGTTTTTAACTCGAATCATTAGTTCCCATAGGAACTATTGCAAAGCCGTTTAATCCGTTCCTACCACTAGGGGCAGAATTTGTTTTCTTTTTTTCCTTTTAACCTAAGATGACTTAGGTTAAAAAAAAGGAAAGAAAAGAGGGAGGGAAGGAGGGAACAGACACCTTTTCAACAGAA